GCGTCTGTCCCTCTCCCACAGCCTGTCCCCTTGCCCTCGAGCTGCCAGTGCTGGCTTCTCCCAGGAAGGGCTTCTCCACGCGGTGGCCCCGGAGCACCACGCTTCTCCTGACCGAGTCGTTGCTCTGCCCGAGCTGCAGGCTGCCATCCTGGATGCAGAGCTGCCGGGCCCACGCTGTGGGGATCCACGCTGTGGGGTCCACGCTGCCGGGCCCGCACTGTGGGGTCCACGCTGTGGTTCCGCACCAGGAGCCGGCTCGGGGGGCTGGGAGGATGGGAGTCGGACTCTGCAGACATGTGGCAGCGTCACCTGCTTTCCAGCGACCGTTGGGGACAGCAGACCGGCGTGGAGGGAACCTGGTCTCTGATTCATCTAATTGGGATTTATCGCTGCCTTCCCACCGCTGCACACGCGCCCTCACCCGGTTCCGAGCGTTTGAAGACATGGCCTCCCGAGACCCGGTGGAACCGACTTAAACATCCATTGCGGTTGCGTCTGATGGAAACTTTTCTGACTCCAGTATTTTACCAGCGTCTATGGGCCCTGTGGAAGCCTTAATGACGTGCGGCTGTCACTTTAAGTGAGGTGCTTGGGCTTCCTGTTGTGAATTATCCTTTTTATTTCATCCATAAATGACACGGAGCAGGGCCCATTCATCAGCCTCAGGAAAGCCTGCCGGCAGCCACTAGAGGGCGCTCCGTCCCCACTTTTCCTGACTCGGAACTTCCCTGACCCACATTTTGCTTTCGAATGTTCTGCTGGTGTCGGACTCCTTGTGTTCCCTTCATCGATGTAGAACAGCCACGTGGAGGGGGTCATTGAAACTACGTCCCTCCAGCAGGCAGCATCCTTCTCCGTCCAGGAAAGCGAGCCAGTGGGAGGGGAGAGGGAGCGAGCGTAGCTTTAAAAGGGCCTGAGGGCCGTTTGCTGGCGAGTGGCAGTGAGCCTGGGGGGGGCGGGGGGGATGGCATTCTGCACGGCCCTGCAAGTGACCCCAGCCTGGGGCGCCCCAGATCCTCAGCCCCGCCCACGCTCCGAGCTCCCCCAGCGTGGGGACCCCAGCCCACTTCCTTGGTCTCTTCCTGGGTGTTGCTCACCCGCGTCCTGTGCTCAGAGTCGGGGGGCGGGGGGTGACTCTGACCCCTGAACCATTAGGAACGAGGCCTCTCGGATGGGTTTGCCTGGTGAACGCTGAGTGTCCAGACCGTAACCGCTGATTAGTTCCCGACTTCCAAGGCCTGCCGAGGGCAGCTGTTTTCACAACCTTCCTTTGTGTCATAGCGACTGTCTCTAGCAGTGATGCCCCTCCCTTCCCTGGCCTTTGGGTGCAGCTGCTGTCCCCTGTCCTGTGACATCGCCAGAGCCATCCCTGCCTTGGTCTGAGCTGCTGCAAGAACTAAGCCACGGTGCCCCCCCCCCCGCCCCCGCATTAACTGAGCCTTCAGTCACACAGGCAGGATCTGGCCCCTCGGCAGCACTCCCTCCGCGAGCGCCCCCAGCAGG